CCAGCAAAGAAGCATCTGATCTTTGCTGCTGCACCTTCAGTGACTTTGTGAGCATGAGGCTTCTCCATTCAGTGCGAAGCTGGCGGCTGACTTTGTCCAGCCCATAGGACGACACTTGCTTTGCATTTTCTTCTCCTTCCACAGAAGACCTCGCTAGATCGATTTGAAGCCGGTCCTGTATCGGGAGCCTCCAGCCTAACCTAGAGAGTCGATGTATGTCTACCTATGCTCATAGCATTCCTTCAACCTTCAGCAGTCCCTCAACAAGGAAGCTTGTGCCTTCTAGCAGACGTTACCTTCATACCATCATATATACACATGTTGAGAATCTGGATCCTGCCAGCAAATTGTTGGGCACCTTAATGCTAGAAGGGAGGACCGAGCTTGCAAGCTTCACATAGACTTGTCCTCATGATTATAATCCTGAGACACTAAGGGACATGGTAGTCTTTCTCCCCACACTCATGCAGCCCCGATCACCTGTGTCGGCGTCATCGTGAACTCCGACACGCCCGCGTATGGCTCCGTGGCGAAAGATGTGTAGTTCCAATACACGCCTGTTGCCGAAGGATCGACATACTCGTAGCTGACCGCCAACTTGACCAAATTGGTGGCGTTGCCGGCCTCAATCCTGGCCTTGACTAATTGCTGTGTGGCGTTAAGCACGCTACATGATTGGTAGGGCGCGCCTAGGGCACCAGTTGCGTTGCACGATGCTTTGAAGGCAGGTGTGCTGGGTTCGTATGCTGGAGCCTCGATGGAGAAACCTTGTAGAGTGTTATTAAAATTCACATGTGCCTTTGTATAAAAATAATAATTATGATTGAAAAATCAATGTGGAAAAAAAGAAAGAAAAAAAAAGGGGGGCATTTAAAAGTAAACGTAGAGACTCACTGTATGTACAAGACGAATTAGTGCCACAACCGGCATTCCAATTGCTCACAGCCCATGAGATGGTGGCAGCCTTTTCTTGAGCCTCTTTGATCCTCTGGACACTGAGAGACGCAGGCACAGCTGCGGCGGACCCCAAAAGGGAGAGTATAGCGAAGGCTGAAACTTGCATTTTCGGTAAAGACAGAATAACCTTTAATTGAAGATTAAAAATGGGAGTGAATGGTACAAGAGAAACTTTCAATAATTAATGGGGATTCTCGAGAATAAGTATCACCTCCTAATAGGAATAGGAATGCGCCTGCTGTTTCGTTTGTTGCTTTCCAGGCTATTTATGTCATTGGTCCCCTACGCCCTCCCCCTGAACCGGAATCCGCTATAGGAACGGCTCGCCAAGACGGGTGATCCCCAAGCTTTTTGCCCATCCGTGATCGTCCTTGGCTGAAAGGATCGACACTCATCAAATCTCGGAGCCAGTCGGTGGCACTCCGATCCTGAGCAGGCACTGATGCATAAAATATTGAGATGAGGACTGTCAAGTTCCTGAGCCGTGGAGGGCATATGCGGTTGCTACTAGGAGAATCCTTGCGCTCCTTCATGGTTTCGTGTGTTGTGGGGGGGGGTGCATACATAGTACCTACACAACGCTTGATAACCGTTTGACTGGACCGATGTTTCGTGTTTTCGTGTTGAAGACATCAGGCGGTACAGGGAATTTCAGGGGTTCATCGATCCACTGAACAAGGTTGATGTACCCGCCTATTCCCTTAACGCCAGTGGGAATACCACCCTTTTGTCTTACTGCCGATCTGCAGGGCAAAATGATGAAGTCCCGAATTGCAATGGTACGCAGTACTGGGGAAAATTCGATAATACATAGGTACTGACCCAGGAGTGTTGGAATCAGAAGGACATGCAATCATCACAAAGCTGTCCCATCAGACAAACACAATTCATTCGCCAAAGTACCACCGCCAGAAGACGGCAACTCGCTGCTCGGGAATGTCTTCTGAGCTTGTGCCTGTGTCTCATCGTGTGACACCTCCCGGAACTGCAGGAGATGTGAGAAGCTGTGAAGGAAAGGGAAGCGCGTCTTGACTCGTTCCATTATATGAAGACTGATAGCGAGTACTAATAGATCAATTGGTCTACTTCGGTTCTGTTTGATCGATTGGCCCACGTCAAAAATGGTGCGCTGAGAGACGATCTCTGCACGTGTCGAACCCAGCTCTAAGGTATCCCGTGTCACGTCATTTACGTACATTCTATAACACGCTTTGACCTCGAACACCCCCAAACACACTCCGGGAAATCAATCCTTTTTATTTTGAATGCGAACTGATCACTGTACTTCTGGAATGGAAGGATGAAGCACACGAACTAATCGCAACGTTGCCTCCTGCAATTGGGGACCTATAACAACGTGTTGCAGTATTGGTCTACACCAGTACATATTTATTCTTTGGCCCTCTCATTTTTCAGCGCTGCTAAAACTTCTACTTTATTCTTTACAATTAGCAGATACTTGCCCAGGTACTTCTTTGTGAAGTCACTGCAAGGCTCTTCACATGCTTGTGCCTGCCCTCGTATCTTTACACTGAGATATCAATCTTTACTTTCGAGGAAATAGTCACTTTGCCACAAATTCAACAACAAGGAAACTTTGGTTGAAAGACAAGCATCAGTATTAAAATCTGTTACTCTGTACAAAAGCTGTTTGCTGAACCACTATGGTCGATACCTCCTGATTCGCACTCGAGACTACGAATCATGAGCTTTGAAATATTTCATGCGGTACACAGTAAATAAACAATCTGATTCGATACTCTACTGGGATTCTGAGATGCTGAGACTACAGCCATATGGCCAAAAACACCCACATTCTCCAATGCATACCACCCTACGAAAGACTCTTCTACCTCCACCTCCTGAGATGTCTTGCCAGTACTGATCCGGGGACGGAGCTGGAGACAGCTCCGAGAGAGAGGAGGCAAAATACCAGAGCAAGGATGTTGACGAATTGCATCTTGAGAATTCGAAATCTGCTGTTGCCACCTGTGATATGTCACAGTCATGACGGTGATCAGTAATTCAGAATTCACTGACTCCTGCGGGGCGGCAGACTTGTCTCTTTAGACCTGAGACTGCTTGCCCAACATCGGATGACTATTAAGAAAAAAGAAAAAAAGAGCGAAAAAAGTAACTGTAGCCTTGCCTACTTCAAGGAATGATGGATGACGGATGACGGATGACGGCAGAATCGATTCTCTTTCGAGTTGTTCTCCAATACTAGTAGTGGTGTGAAGACGTGTGCCGTAGCTTTGGCGACTACACGCTATTGGCCAAAGTTTTGGTACGGAGAAAGCTCTCTATGCAGTAAGTGGCATCAGTGAATGTTTCACTGGAATCAATATCTAAGAACTGTAATTCGGCCGCTGACTATAGCACATTGGACTCCAACACCTCATAGCCTGTGACAATTCTGAGTCCTGAAAGGTCAACAGCTAAGTAGACGTGGTGCTTGACGCTGAGCAACTCGGCGACGAGCCTCTTCTCCTCGGCAAGGGAAAGACAGGCACAACACTGACTTCTTGCTTATCGGATAGGTTGAGCAGGCACTGTAGGCAACCCGAACAAAACGAATCTAAGAACAGATTGTCATAAGACATCAGCTCCTTAACACGAGATTAGTTTGCACTTGCTGTACACAACGACATCATCACAGCTTCCCTGGAAATTTTGTGATGACAAACCGCAGAAACAGATCGAGTATCACTCAAGTGGGTATGTTGGGCTGGTCCCCAACACTTGTTGACCATGAATGAAGATACGGCTTCTATGATTCAGATGCTAGTCAATACACAGTGACTCACTGGATGACCGGAACACGCGACAAATTGACAAGGCTCGAGAGGCTGAAGATGAAGACCTGCTCAGCTCGCAGCGTAGGCAACATGGATGCTGATCACTGTGCAAGAACGGTCATCAGATAACTTTACGCGTCAGTTGAGTCGACCCGCACCCGCCGCTTTATATCTGTCCGCATTTGGTTCTTCCAAGCAATGACATTTGCTCTGCATCTTTTGCGCATCGTCTATTGTGCTAACGGTGAGGTACACTGCAATGGCGCGCTGAGCCCCGGCTCGTTCTTTATCTAGTTGCTCCTTGCACCGTCCTTCGCCGCCCGGAGCTCGTTCATCTTAGCCACCCGCTTCTTGAATTCGACGTATTGGCACTTTTCGTATGTGTGTCTTTCTTGCTGTTGTTCCCATCAGCACATGCTCATTCCACAAAGCCCCGAGCCTGTCGTGACGAGGCGAAATCTTTCAAGTCTTGTGCTCGTCGGGGTCCGGTGCTCGTTCGGACGGGCAACAAGCATCGTCTGGGCTTACCTCGCACTTCCAGGGCAGATAGTAGGTCTCGAAACGGCAGTTATTAAGGGGGATGAGGAGGTTGGCGCAGCTGTCTCGGTATGCGAGGGGCAGTTTCGCATCGCGCATCTCCTCGCGGGTCGCCTCTACAATTCGACGTCAGCCGATGCAAAGTCCAGGTGGAAGGCTGAGGGGTAGAAGACTTACTAGGCGGCATCTCGAAGGAATCGTCGTGTCCGCCCATCTTGACGGAGCAGTTGTGTTCGACTGGCGTCTTCAATTGCTTGTTTCGAGGTTGTGTTGTCGTTGATCAGCCAGAATTCCGGGACCTTGGATGCAGCCGAGTTGAGCCGCAAGTGGTCCGTGCGGTAACTTGGGTCAACCTGCCGCGGATGGAGACTGCAACAATGACTACCACCAAGCTCCGACAGCAGAGTCATGGAACATGAATTGGGAGGCCAGAACTTGTTTTCAAGCACCACATGATCCTACCTCATCTGAAACTGGTTTAGTTTACCATTGGGAGACTGGCAAGCTCGCGCAAGTGCCTCACAAAGATGTGTGGTTGGTGTGTCGGGGGTTAGGGTCGGTGAGTCAGCCACTAGCGCGCCGCCCGCCTTTCGCATTGATATGGCTTCAAACCGCAGAACGAGATCAGCTCTGATCGGATTGGCAAAAAGAGAACACCTTATGGAACAAATAAAAACTGTTTACGGCCTTAAACAGCGCAAAAAGAGATGATCTGTGCAGGGGTCGAACCTGCAATCTCCTGATTGACGCGTTCGCGATGAAGTCGTAGTCAGACGCCTTGCCATTGGGCCAACAGACCGATGATTGATGGTATGAGGGTCAAAAAATATGATTATAACCACCAGCAAAATCCCGGGGGACCGCGCTACTGCACCGCTGAGACGTTCAATGATCGTTTGCGGCTTTCAAGTTCTTCTGGAGTAGTGTTGTGTTGTGTCAGACCAGAAGCTATATCAATAGCTAACGCAGGACCTATGTAAAGGCTGGTGACTGATTATATAAGCAGGTTACTATTACATCTCCCTCCTTCCCGCAGTGCCTTCCAGGGATGCGGTTGACGCAATGATGAAGTTGCTCTTGGAGAATGGTCTGAGCGAGTACTCTGGGAAAATTCCCTCTCAGTGTCCGCTTTGCCTCGACGTTGACACCATGCGCCCGAGGACGGCAAACTCAAGGTCTGGTCCACGAAGCACCTGTCTACCCACATGAAGATGGACTTGCATACAAAGTCGAAGATGATGGTACGCGAGGCCAGGAAGTTGATGAATGACCAGGGAAAGACTGCGATGCAATGCCGCTTCTGCGCCGAAATTGTCCCTTTGGACTCTGACGAGGTTCCGTCCTTTGTCCAGGAAGAACTCCTTATACAACACGTCAAGTGAGTTAGTTCTCTATTCCACGCGCCTTTCCCCCCTTCCCCATCTGCTTTTCATTCTCGAGACTAATAATATTGCAATATTGCAAACAGGAGATCCAATGAAAAACACATCGCCAACGCCAAGTGGACTACACCAGAGCTCGCGAGTTTGCACGAAGAACTGAAGGGAGCCTACGGGGTCTACGACGTGGACTTTTGGAGCAACAGCGGATTCAGACAGCAAGAGAACCAGCACAGGGAGTCGCGCCGCCGTGAAGTGCGCGCGGCTTCAGACCCGGCAATCGCTTTCTCGGAAGGAAAGGCATTGGTTGCTCCAATCCCCCTTCCTGGCCATCCGGGCATCATGATGGGTTCTTTCACGTCGTACGCTGGTAACTCCATTGCCAGAGGCGACATTGTGGCCGGCCCCGTTCCTACCATGAGCAAATTGCGAGGCATGGGCGCCCCGCCTCGAGGCATCATCGTCGGACCAATGCCAAGTGCGGACAGATTGGTGAAGGGTGGTGGAATCGACCCTGAAGACGCCGATGTGATCAAGGCTGTGCCCATACCTCGGACGGAAGGTGGCTTCATTGGTCAGGGTAAACGCATGAAGGACCAGGCAGACAAGATGTACCGTGAGCAGGAGGAGCAGGGTCGCCGCAACTGAGGCACAGATCAATTCCCCCGGACGCGTTGCCAAACGTGATCATGCTGCCCGCGCCGGGAAAGAAGAAGTCTTTGGCGTTAAGCTCTCGAGCCACCACAGTAGCGTGCTTGTACCTGGTGTGGTAGCTGGCAGACGCGATGCGTCTGGGATGGAGACTCAGCCCTCTTCTCTTCTCTTTTCTCTTCACTCCACGCGGGGCTGCGGCCTTTGCCTTTCACTGGGCAGAAAGCCTCAAATCATGGAGTTAGGCAGATTGAGATAGAGAGAAAAATACGAACTATTGTCGCTCTATATTGATTTTACATTCACCGCTTTCACAACAACATTTGTAGTCAGATGCCTTGCCATTAGGCTAGTGGAGTAATAATCAATAGTAAGAGAGAAATGAAAAGTATAATTATAGCTACTAACATAATCCCATAGGACTATGCTATTGCACCGCCAATACTGCCAATATGTGTAATAATCGTTTGCAGTTTTTAAGTTCTTCTAAAATATAATGTTTGTATTATACTATGTTAAATTAAAAGCTGTATAAATGGTAATCTTGGGGCCTTCCTATAGAATTTATGTAATCAGTTTCTAGGGTTTCTAGATATACCTAGGTATGCTGTGATGCGATGGAGATTCTATACAGGTGTTCAATTCTAATGGTAAACGAGCGATGGCATAGACACTGTGACAATCGGATTAGGCGGGCATATCGTGTTCAACACCATCCCACTGGATGATCACCACGAGGTACGACAGGAACTCCTTCAACTTTATCGGTAAAACCACAGCTATCATCGAAAATGCTCGTGGAGAAAGAAGTTCATGAAAATATGGGGAACTCCGGTACAAGCTGTCGATGTGTATGTCTACATCGAGAGCGGACAATGGACAATAGAATTTCGGTACAATACGCCCAAATTGCGAACTTGAATTGGCTTCAAGCATTCAGATGGATGCAAAAACAGGGGAAGACAGAACAGCTCAAATCTTTGTGCTAAAGAACGTGAAACGTGGCCTGAAGAAAAGGTCCTCTAAAAGGCTTTTCCCTTGCCATGCAATTTTGCGCCTGTAATAGAAAAGTATACCACAGTCCCGGACGCCCTCCTTTCCACTCGTACGTCCGAACCATAGATGATCCTATCTTTTCCTCGATCCCAGCCTTGGCAATTTGACAGGCACCAAGAGCAGGCCACTCACAATCGCAATAAGCACACAACACATGAATGTAGTCCTCACCGCCGCTTCATAACTCATGATAACCTGCTCTTGCAAAAGCCCGGTCAATTTGGCCACAGCCTCGACACTCTCCCTCACTTTCGCCACCACCTCCTCTCGCCCACCCGCGAACCCACCCACGCGCGCAGCTTCATCTGTAACGTTCATTTCCAAGTATCCCCAGAGGGTGTTCTGGACGACCAGACTGGAGCCCGCGATACCCAATACCATACCCATGCTCCGCCATAAAATCAGTGTGCTCGTCACCACTGCTTGTTCTCTCTGTTCGCTCGCAGCGAGGATCGCCATGAAAGTGCCTGGGAACTGGAAACCCTGTCCCATACTGTGTGGTACAAGGAAAAGAAGATATACCCACAAGGGCCAGCCACGCTGCATAAATGATAAGGCGATAGTCCCTATGAAAAAGCCTGTTGCTCCCAGTTTCAACGGCCACTTCAGCCGCTTGGTATAGTTGATTAGGAAACCAGTAGATGTGCCACTCGCACTACTAACGATTGTGATGATCATGAGACAGAGACCACTTGTAGTGGCACTTGTCAGAAGCACGGCTTGAAAGAACAGTGGCATGTTGAAGATGATAGCGTTCATCAGGAAGGCACCAAGTGCGTTGCTGAATATCAGGTTTGCTTGCGGCGATCTTCGAATGAGGTGAAGGGGCATTATAGGCTTGTTGACAAAGCTCTCCACCCAAATAAAGGCTGGAAAGGTCACGGCAAAGATGACCAGCGAGGCAATGACTATGGGATGTGACCAGGCGAGCACATTTCCACCAAGGTTGAGACCGAGAATCAGGGAAGTGATTGCCATGATCAAGAGGGTTGAACCCTTGAAGTCAAAAGTCCTCAGTGCCTGAAGTACTGTCTCCCTGTTCCTCGACGCGAGACCTAGATCTGCGGGTATAATGAGCGCAGAAACACCCACGCACAAAAGCAGCGGAGGCACTTGAATACCAAACTCCCATCGCCAGCCTAGATAGTCGGCCATGAACCCACCCAATGCAGCGCCCAGGGTGGATCCTATACCGTAGACCATGTTGAGATAGCTTTGATATGCACCTCTACGTTCGATAGGAACCAGATCACTGACAATAATGCTACCCAGCGTCATGACACCCCCAGCACCAATACCACACACGGCTCGAGCGATGATAAAACTGGTCATGCTCTGGGCCAAGGCACACCACAATGTGGCTAGGGCGAATATAAACATGGTAAAGATGTATGGGGTCTTGCGTCCTATACTGTCCGACAAGCTTCCTAATAGCGGTTGGAATGCTGTTGATGTCAGGAGGAAAGCGGTGGACAGCCATGACGCGGAGTTCGAACTGTGAAAGTAGGACGTGATGACAGGATGTGAGGAAGCCATAAGAGTTCCATCAAAGTTCGAGATGAAGTTGAGCGCCAAGACGTTGCTGAAGATCAGCCAGAAGTGTGATGAGGACAGACCGTTCAGGAACGGGCTCTCGGCAGCAGCATTGGCACGCTCCAACTCTCCGGCAGTATCATCGTCAAGATTGTCGCGAACGACATCGCTGGAGGATGACGGCTGCCGACTAAAAGCTGGACGTCTGCTTGCAGTGCTGCTGTATTTTCGATCACCTCGAAGAAGCGGGGTCTCACTCGATTCAGGCCCCAGAAGCGGTCCGCCGTTATAAGAAGTTGACTTTGACAGTAATAAATCAAATTCGTCCGGGTCAATATCGGGCTCAGTATCTTCGTCGTCTTGCCTTGCTCCTCGCGCTACATCCACTGTTGCGTTGGCACGAATCAAAGGTGTCTGCTCATCTGGGGCGCTGTTGGCGTCTTGCAGATCAGACCCACTGCCCTTGTGGCCTGCAAGGCTCATGTTGGCGATGAACAGTAAGAATTCATAAAGTTTGTCTGCCTCGACGACTCGGGCAATGTGTATACAATATCTTTGACTCAAGGCCGTGGCCGGTCAATGTACAGTCAGTCCAAAGTAAGCGCGATTTAACCGATGAGATGATACCCCGACTTCCGGTGAGTTTGGTCAGGCGGACGGCGGAAGAAGTCAAAGCTCGATGATAGTCGAGCTGCTACTCAAAGTACTGGTATACAAGATGGTGTCTATAATCTAGCAACACGAGAATTAAAGATGCTTTCGTGCAAAGCCGGTCATACAAGTTCGGGAAGAGTTTGCACCGAGGTATGCTGTCGAAGCATTATTCTGAAGTGGTGGAGCGAAAACCGGGCCACGAGATCTCGGATCGGCTGTGCCCGAGATATTCTCCATCCCGACCCGGACTCCGGCAAGCAAACGCAGCAATTCATTATGGCTGCTCGTGAATTGCTCAAGAATTCACTACAATTTTGCTACTGAGAGAGCCGGAGAACCACCTTAAGTCGGGACCTGTGTATTTATGCTTTCACAATTAAGACTGCCGTTTTCTATGAAGCAAGGTGTTGATTTTCGTTTTAAGGTAGAAAGCCGTGAAGGCCTTACCATAGTAGTCTTGGTAATCGAACTGTGTTGACCCGATTGGATATGAAGAGAGCTACGCCAAGGCTACACGGCCCCGCCA